ACCAACCAATATTCATAGCTATTTTAGTAGAAATATGATTTTCCATCAAAATAGCAGGACATTTGGATAGTTTGTATACTATCCAGCTAGTCTATAAACTAGCCAAGTAAATACTTTAACCGTAACATATACAAGACTGAAAAACTGTATATTTTTAAATTTTTGTATTCTTCAGAAAATTCTAGACATATTTTTTGTACCAAACTGTTTAGAAAATATTAAATGTTTTCTGATTTATTGCAAAAATTAACATTAACAAAAAAAAATTGTTTAATTACAGAAATTCGCTAAACTTAAATAGTTTTGTTTACTTTTGTTTAAAACGCCTGACCTTAGCAAATTGTTAACTGACTGCATGACATTGGTTGTCAGTGTTATAGTCGTTTGAATTTCCTTACTGCATGTCAGAAAAATGATTCATTTAACAGAAATGCACAAAATAACAATTCTACAGACGATTTGTTATGAAGATAACACACGGACACAAATGGAAATTGCTTGCTTATTTCTAGAAAAATTTCCAAATTTGTCGCGTATATCCCAAGGGACAATTAGTAAAATAGAAAAGCAGTTTCGCGAGCTTCGATATGTAAGGCAAATAAAAAACATCTGCCAATGCAATAACTAATGATACCAAATTGGATATTATGCTTGAGTTTCAAGAAAACCCTCATATTTCTAGTCTACAAACAGCCCCAATGTTCGATATTAGCTATTCGTCGATTATTCAAACATAAATTGCATCCCTATAAAATAATAGCAACTCATGGAAGACGATTTTGATAGGAAAACGTAACTTTGTTACCAAATGATAGCAATGTTAGATAATATGGTGATCCAGTTAAAACATGTTTTGGTTTCTGATGAGTGTACCTTTACACTTTACGGTCATGCTATTCGTCCAAATTACCACTATTGGTTTAGGGAAATTGTCACTGGATGAGAGAAGAACATACGCAATACCCTGAAAAGGTTAATTTTTGGGCAGGAATTGTTGGCGATAATATCGTAAGTTCCTTTTTCATTGATGGCAATTTGAATGGCGATAATTATTTAGCAGTGCTCCAAAATAATGTCGTACCAACTTTAACGAACTTACATCCCAATATAGCAAACCCACCAGTTCCAGCGAATATGATTTGGTTTCAGCAAGATGGAGCACCGCTCCATTACGAAATCAATGTCCGGCAGTACCTCAATCGAGTATTTCCAAATCGGTGGATCGATGGAATGGTTAGCACGATTCCCTGATCTGAAATCATTAGACTTTTCTTTTGAAAAGTATTGTATACATCTCCTTCATTGAGATGTGTTTTTTTTTGTTACATTATCAAGAAATATACAGAATTACTTATTAGTTTTTGAGTGTGTTGTAACGAATTTCTGTAACCAAATAATTTTATTTTATTAATGTTAATTTTTGCAATAAATCTAACAACATAATATTTCCGAAACAGTTAGATATAGACATCGACGTCGTTTGGGGGGACAAGGGGGCAGTTGTCCCCCCTGGCTTTTACGACTTTACAACGCGTAATGGCTGTATGTCACAAAACTAAAGTACTAAAATTTAGCCCTAAATTAAGTTATTAATTTAGTACTAAATTTAGAACTAAAAATATTTTTTTTTTCCTTTTGCAACGATACCAATTTTTAGTATTAAATTAAGTATAGGCGCACGCGTATTGACGAAATTAGCAGAGAAATGAAACATTCTGTGTAAATGAGACAAGTGAATTAAAAGATGTTTTTATTATGACCTTGACACTAGTTGACTTGACAAATGCAGCAATGCTACTAAAAATCACGAAAAAACACAATGAAACCTACAAAGTCAAACACTAGCGAAATTTGTCCAAGGCGATATGCAAAGTTGCCGCTAACCAAAAACAAAATGGTGCAGAAAAGCCCGTTGTGTCAACTTTTTCTAAGAAAAACTTATGCGCATTTTTAATACTAAATTTAGTAGAAAATAGAACAAGTTCTAATTAATTAATTAATTTTTTTAGTACAAAATTTAATACTAAATTTGCTCTTTGCACCGTGAATTTTTTTAGTACTTAAAAAATGCATTAATTTAGTTCTAAATTTAGTGCTTAATTTAGTATTGTAACATAGAGCCTTAATATATGAATTACTGATATTTCGTTAGGTAGGTACTATGTGCTACAGTTTGACAACGCTGTATACAATAAAATTACGTAACTAACACAATTACACAACTGGCACTGGCTCATTTTGTCGATTGTCGCCGTAAACGCATAACAATAAACACAAGGCATAATATGTTAGGTAGCCTTTAAATTGATTGAATTGTTTAAGGGAATAGAAGAAATAGGCAAACATGATAGGTGTAGAAATCTAAATGCCACGTGTATTACGGACAACAATCTCATAAAAATAATATTCAGGCTAATACAGTTGACGAATAATATAGGTTGAATATATTTATTCCATATCCATATCTTACATGTACCTATACATTTTACTTTTTTTTTAAGTAGGTAATGTTAAAATATCTGTATCTATTATAGTTAGCAACCCTGTCTGAATTAGTTACTTTTGTTTTATAAAGATGACTACCTGTATTGTCGTCTGTCAATGACAATGTCAATGTAAGTACTTCCGGTAAATTTACCAACGAATGTACGTACTTAACCTGAGTTGCTATTTTAATTTTAGTATTAGGCATTCCAAACTGAATGGCTACCAGTGGGTTCTGACGGGTTATGATTTGGCAAAATTATGGCAACCCTGTAGGCCTGGTGATTTGACAAGGTCAATGAAATAGATAGTCACATAGATTGATCATCCATATTTTTCAAAATAAACATAAGGTTATGTCTTGAAGTAAAAATGTAAGAAATTATTTTTTTTTAAATATCTAAAGGCTAAAAATTGGTTTTAAAACACATTTTTGCTAAACCGATTCAAATTAATAAATATTTGCCAGGCAATACGGCCGCTCGTAAACGACCAGCTTTGAGCAATCTATATAACTATATATGTATCATTGACCCTGTTAATGACAACATGACAACAGGGTTGCCATATCTAAACTGTCATTACCCACTGGTAGCCATTTGGACAGGTCGTTGGAATGCCTAATTCTTTGTTCAAATAGTTATTCGTTAATAAAAACCTTTCACCAAACTATTTCCACATTATTTTCTCTAACAGATAAAAACAAAACAAAAAGCAATAGCAGTTGCTCTGTTGTAAATTGTAAAAATACTAGCAGAAAAAACAGTGTAAATTGTATAAATTTTCAGTAGCAAAATGAAAATAAAATCAATGAAATAAATGGATAGCTGTACAATAAGAAGAAAAAACCTTTATTTTTGTAATAATAACAGTAATACTGGAAATAGTAGACCTCAGAAAATTGAAAGGTTTTAAATAAACAATAAATTATTATTTTACAATGTTGTTCAACGTCCCTTAACTCTTAAATGTTCAGCAAGGATTAAATTTCTGCCTTTGATTATTGCATGTGGTTGAAATGCAATCTTATGACTTATTGATATGAAACCAATTTTAATTATTAATTTCTATAGGTTCTTTCGAACTAAAAATAAAGAAAATATAAATTACAATCGCAAATTTACCAATTATTTTTATTAATACTTTTTGATACTAAGTTCTTATGTTTTTATTTTCACATTATTTAACCTTGTCTTCAATGACAACTTATTAGGCTTTGGCAACATATCATACATTTCTTTTTAGCTAAAGTAATAAAAATATATAATAATAATTATTTTTTTTACAAATTCATATATTTTTATTAAAATCATCATATAATTTTTTAATTAGGAATTCCATTAAAAATTGTATTGTCAGTATACGCAGATATCGTCCGTTAGTTCATGAATTAGTTGGCGCTGCTGTCACGCACAGAGCGAATAATGAATGAAAACAGACTGACTGCGCTTTGCATGATGAGCGTACATAGAAAAATAATCGCAAAAAACTAAAAAGAAATCATGTTTTCTGTTATCGATTATTTTAGGTAGAGGAAGAAAGAATTAAATATTTCTGTTTTCTTAGTGTTTGAGTGAGTTTTTTGTTTTTGTGTTTTTAAAATATTTTTTTTTTAATATTATGTATGATGGCTCTTCTTGTTCATATTTTTCTTTTATTTCTCACCTTCTGTTTGTTTTTTAAAAATATGTGTTTTAACTGTCTTGTTTTTTTTATTTTAGTTTTTGTCTTTTTTGTTGGGTTATTTTATTTATTAGAAACTTTTGTTAATTTGTATTGCTTTTCATTTTCTTTGTTTTACAACAAATAAACATTCTAAATGTGTAACGACGCCCATAGACATAGGCCATAGTACATAAAATATGTCTAGAATTTTCTGAAGTTGCATTTAAAATAAGAAAGTTAGTATTGACCACTGTTACAGGACACACCCTGTATAAAAGGTGTTCGTTAAAAAAAATGCGCAACTAAAAAAAATACCAATCGACGTTTCCGAGCGATTTTCCGAACACGCTCCCATTTATTCCATTTGGCTATTCCACACTGTATAATAAAGAATCGTCACATATAACGAAGTTAATTGCAGAAAATAAAGTATTTAAAAATGTGTTAATAAACAGGAATGAGGGTTAACCAAAAATCTCATAGCTTTTAGGGACACTGTAGTGTGGAAAAATCTTAATTGTTTTTTTGTTGCATAACGATACAACAAACTAAAATTAATATTAAAAGACAAAAACGAAGAACAGAAGAATTCATAATCAATAAACGAAACGAGTAAAGCAAGGATATTCGCTATCAACCACGCTGTTCAATATGTCATACAAATTAATAGAGAAAAGCTGAGACCAAGGGGAGGAAATGTAGTTGACATAGTGGTAATTTAAAAAAAAAGTCATGGACGACGTCTTGAACAAAATGGTAGAAGAGAAAATTATGGAACTAGAGGTGGACCAACAAAAATATAAATATGAAATTAGATCAAGAAGTATTAAAATTGGAATATATTCAAAAAAGTGGAAGTTACAAAATTTGGTAATTGCAATAGCTAGAATAGGAGACAAGAAACTTTTTTTTATTGGTGTCTTTGGCTTCAACATATAAGGTCACTAGCCTCGTGTTCTATGTAGGTTATGGATTGCACTAGTAGTATAATACTCCTTTACTCCATAGTGCAGGAGTATTAGTACTTTAATACTCCTACATCCCCTACAGACAGACCTTGTTAATGTTTCCTTGTGCCACTTTAGGAACAGCACTGTAAATTAAAACCCAACAGTGAATGGTCGAGTGGGGAATCCTACCAAGGCATCAGAATTAATTTTAAATTATTTAATTAAATAAAAATCCCGGCCAACGGTGGGATTCGAACCTGGGACCCTTGGATCCGCGAACAGAGACTCTACCACTGAGTCACCCATTCCCCCAAGACAAGAAACTTGAATAAGCAGAAAAATAGTCATTGCAAATAAAGCCTTCCACGCAAACAAAAAATTATTTAAAAGCAAATTACAGATCAATATATTACTGTAAGAATTATGGAAAGAAAAATTATGCCAGTAATATTGGAACCAAATAAAACCACAGAAGAAAAGTACAGAATTAGAACAAACAAATAAATAAATAATAGCTAAACGAAGGCATAACAAATATAAAGCAGTCCAAAGATAGGACCCGTTTGGAAAGAAGGAAATGGAACATTGGTTTATTTAATATTACAATGGGACCCACAAGGAAGAAGAACACGTAGAAGGTCCAGATCAAGATGGCTAAAAGAAGTGAAAGAAGATCTACGCAAGGCTGTACTTAATACTTGGCAAGAAAAAGTACGGAATAGATGAAAACGATGAAACAAAGATTATTATTCAAGAAACTGTGAAAGATTTACCCAAAATATGGATCTAGAGAGCAACAGTCGCTTAGCCCCACTAGGGGCTTTTTGGATCACCATGCTGCATAACACCATCCAAATGTACCAATAATTATGATTATCAGCTATTAGTCAAGTAATGATTACATTGTTAGTGATATACTTATTGTAATCCTTTATTTCGTATAAAATTTAGTCTTCAAAATGACAAAAATGTCACTCTGTTAGTTACGTTTCCCTACTTTATTAAATAAGCTAGCACATGAATTTTTCGAGCAATTTCAGAAAATGTAACTACAGACAGGAAAAATAAATAAATATCTTTTCGTGTTTATAGGAAAGTCAGTATCAATCGATGCACATATTTTTTGGTAACCCAAAGATTTGACAGTCTTCAAAGTTTAGGACTTTCATTATCCTCTTCTAAAATAACTTCTGTGATATGACTCTGATTATGGTACTCCCTGTTTTCAGCCTTGTCCTCTTCCTTAACCAACAAATCTGGACTTAAGAACGACTGCCTTCTGCTCTTTTTTCTCGCTCTCATCTCAACTGGAGGAATTATTTTTTCTTTAGTTAAAAGTACAGGGCCCAGTATCGTTGTAAGAAGAGCGCCAGTTGGGGCAGTTATGATTATCGATAAAATACAACAATTCATTATTCTTCGTGCAGCTGTTACATCTGGATCATTATCTTTACCTTCCAATAAGGAAAGAGCTACAGGACCCAGTGCTGCCTGAAAATAAATTCAAAAAGGTAATAAACATTTGAAACCATGGTGGTAATAATAATAATAAATGGTAAAAGTCTGAAATCTAATCTTCCTACCATTTTTTTAGATATTTTATAGGGTATACTCTGAACGATTTGAATATAAATGAACGTGGTATTTAATGGGAATAGCATTAGGGGAGGGTAAGATAAATCCGAGTAGTCAGGTCAAACCGGGGTATTTCTAGGGCGCTGACAATAGTGCAACTAGAATATACTAATGAAGAGGGCGCATTCGTCATTATATCAGTTCGTTACTAAAGATATATCATGATAGAGGTTTTTTATAATTTGTGACAGATTTGCTTGCAACGTTTGTTGTGTTGTAGTGTTCTCTTTCTGAAGAGAAATCAGTAAAGGGGTTCTTATGTGCGAACTCAACACGTTACGTGTTGAATAGAGAGAGACATTGCATTAGAATCGCATTCTGTCGAACGAAGATAGGCGTCTCAACACGTGCCGAATTGAAAGATGAGAATCCCACTGCATATGAGTGGGATTCCGTTCTGTGTCGAGTAACTCGATCTCGAAACGATTTATTATGAAAAGCGACTCTATTCTATAACTCGATCAGGACATAGATTATTATGTGCGAACTCAACACGTTACGTGTTGAATAGAGAGAGAGAGAAAGAGAGAGAGATATATATTACATAAGAATCGTATTCTGCCGAATGAAGATAGGTGTTTCGGCATATGCTGTATTGAAAGATGAGAATCTCACTGCTAGTTTTGACTTCGGAAATCTGAAATCTTCGGAAAATCAACAAAATAATGAAACATTGGAACTACTCCGACTTTTAGATGTTAAACAACAAAAACCGTTTAGAGGATCAACCGGTAATTTGCGGTATTTACCGTTTTAATTAAAGCGATGTTGGATGTTCTTGATACTTTCTATGACGCGTCATATTTAAGCCCTTTGAAATGTCATTAATTATTAAACTAGGTAAATAAAACTGTTTTAAAGCGATGAACTAGAGAACACTTTGGTTATACCCTTGGTTAAACTTGAAATTATGTTACTAAAGCCCTAAGAAGGTAATCGGTTATTATAACGCATTAAAGTTAAATCGGTTTATAAATAAGAAAATAAATGTTGACATTTAATTTCTAGGTTAATTTTTATTGGTTCTAAAGTGGAAATTATTATTAATGAGTTTTTCCCTGGCTTTTCCTTATGGACATCGATAAAATAAGTTTAATTCGCTACCTTATTAGTAATGGCTAGCGCACAGGGCTCCTGCAACTGCGCGTCCAACGCGTGCACCGCACGCGGGCGCACCTCAAAAGGGGCGCCAAACCGGAGGTCTGTATACAATTCGAATTTTTAATTTTTCTAACGATTCCAATGAACAAGGCACTAAGACACTAAAGAAATCATAAATGTTTTTATCTCAATTCATGATAATATAATCAATATTGTTATCGAAGTTTATGTTCGTTGATATAATGACCTATTCCTATTGTGACAGAAAACATATCTATTTTTGAAATCAAATAGCTATTCAATTAGCGTTAATTATTAAATATAATAAAATCAATAGGTTAGTTAACTCTGTGTGCAACATGCAATACCATGAATACCCGTATAAAGTATAAACTTGTCGATTTTTCCTGTCCAGACTCGAATACTGTACGAAAGACGAGTAAGTTTCAAATTAGATCTTGTCGATTTTTCCTGTCCAGACTTAAATATTCTACGAACTATGTTTTTCCTGTCCAGATTCGAATATTGTACGACGAGTAAGTTTCATATTAGATCTTGTCGATTTTTCCTGTCCAGACTTAAATATTCTACGAACTATGTTTTTCCTGTCCAGATTCGAATATTGTACGACGAGTAAGTTTCATATTAGATCTTGTCGATTTTTCCTGTCCAGACTTGAAGACTCATCTACGAACCACGAAACCACGAGTATAAATAAAACTGCAGGAGGTGTCGTAATCCAAATAGTTAATATTTTCTTCGGCTACGTGAAGGTCAAAAAGCAAGACGCAAAGTTATAGTTATAAATATTCGACGGAGTGCTTTATATTTTGTGTTAATTGTGTTGTAATTAAATTTTATGAAATGGTAAGTACCTACCCACATAATACCCCTGTATTTGACTTGATTTATGCCCGATTTGCCTGTTCCCATTTCGCCTGATCAATTAAAATTTCCCGATTCGCCTGACAAGCTCAAATTGTGGTATCGTTTCGCCTGACCATAAGTTGCATGGTGCGTGGTTTTTTTATCATAAGGGCCATTTTCAAAATACATGCAAAATTTGATTTATAAGGATGATTTGATTTGAAACAAAAAAAAAATTTGTTTTATTCCAGATTGGCATTGCATGCAAAATGATGCAAAGTATAACGACTGGACATTAAAGCGTGCCAAAACTATTTAAAGAATCTAGTTGATAATTTTAAAAATTATACAGATGATAATGTTTTCGAGGAAAAACTTGCTCAAGCTGGAGAACTAGCAGCCGCTCTTGAGATAGAGCAAGGTTTTCCTCCATTAAATATTGTTAGATGAGAGTATAAACCAAAGCTGTTCGATTATGAACAGAGAGATGAGACACCTCAAGATCCAAAAACAGCGTTTAAAATAAATTTATTTTTAAAAATAATTGATCAAACACTAAGTTCTTTAAATAGTAGATTTGAAATGATATCTGATTACGACAACGCTATAGAGCAAGAGATCCTCGATAAAATTGATTTTGAAAATGTTATAAAAGATTTTGCAGCAGCCAAATCCAGAAAAAAACCTATTTAATTTTTGAATAATTGAATGTTTTATTTGTTTACTGTTTGGTTTGTTTTTTCGTTTGTAAGAATAAAATATTGGTTTTTGAAATATCTGTTGTTTCATTACAAAATTAAAATAAAATGTGGGTTCGCAATTCGCTCAAATGTTAAACGACTACAAGAATATTACAGCAAACCAGGAAATTTAAAAAACTTATGTAACAGCTTAAAGTTGTTATTCTTCAAAATATTATTAATATAAGTATTACATATATTCAAAGGGCGCCAAAATATTTCCGGCACGTGGGCGGCGATAACCCTTGTGGAGGCCCTGCTAGCGTAAACAATTATATTGATATGCAACACATTAAACCATTGTAACAAATTAATTATCAAATGCCGTTTAATTCAAAAATCACAAATTAACACGAGTAAAAAGCTGTGGTGTCGTCGAAATGCTTAACACCAAAATAATGGCGGCCAATCGATAATCGGCACAGAATACAAGAAGTGCTGGATATACTTGTTACGCGTCCTCTCTTTTTCCTTGTCTAAGCTGAGTCCGGATCTAGTCTTCATAGTCCAGACACCGTGGTCCAGACGTAGGTTAATAATGACAAGTGATATTCAGTTAGTGTTTTTGGTTAGAATATCAAATTTGGAAGTTACATGAGCTAATCTAGTATTATGTATGTATATAAATTATGAAGACTAAATATAAATATACGTAATTTAGCAAATAGCACCACGCATAACGTGTAACGTGCAAAACTGTTCCCTACTAAATTCTAAATCTTATTCTTTTTGGCATCATATTAACATCATACCGTAAGAAATAACCGAGGAAAATACTCACTAATAATAAGTGTTAACGAATGTTCCTTCTATTTCCATCTGAAATAAAACTTAACCTAGAAATTAAATGTCAAAATGTATTTCCTTATTGTTATGTGAGCCATTTCATTATTCAGTCATGCTCTAACCCTACAAGTCCCTCTCTGTCTTATTTGGCATTTGAGGCTCAACTTGTCCGATTATTATACATATTTAAACCCCTTAAGACCAAACCTATGGGACGACTATGGTGGAGACACTTTCGCGAACATTCCAGAATCAACGAGATACTATTTCTAGTCTAAATATAACGTTTCTGGCACCTTCTGGCAATTTTGGTGGGGGAGCATTCTAGACCACCAATTTGTATATAAATTGGTGGAGGAGAGCCATCAGTAATCAGTTGATATATGAACAGTGAAGATAAATAGTAATTAGTAGATAGACAGTGATCAGTTTAAAGACATTCGAAGTATATATAAATTAAAATAGTATTGTTTAAAATAAATAAGTGTTTAAATAAATTATTAATAAATAAACTGTTGTTTTAAAGTAAACAAACATCACATTATTTAAAAAACGATTTAACGTTAATGCGTTTTAATAAGCGGTTAGGTATAGTAAATGAATAATTTTTATCCCTTTTTTTTTCAGTCAACTCTAATTATGATTTTTTCGATATTTCATTATATGATAATTATTATTGCTTAAGTGGAAAATCTTAACGAATAGTAAAAGATAACGAATTTTTGCATGATACTTTGATTTATGTCAAGCACTCTTGAAACTTGGTCTCGAGTATCTATTATATCTATCTATTATGTCTATTATAAATTTATAAATAAAAAAATTAATTTCTTACCTGTACGATTCCTTTACTGATCCACGACATAGCTACAAAAATCTTCTCCTTCAAATTCATATTACAACCAATCCCTGCAATAATAGTTATACATATTCTCGTCACTACAACAACTGCTAAAATTCCCAAACACATCAGTACAATGTCCCCATTCATTTCATTTATTTTAATCCTAGATCCAGTGATTCCGAACAGTATCGGCTGGAATATCATCCAGAAAATTTCAAATGCTAGAGCTGCTGGGTTGTCTTCGATATCCCATCCTTGTTTAGACCAGTTTGCTAAGGCCACAAAAGCTGCTGTGACGCAGATTAGAGGTCCGGCTCCTCCGTAGCCAATGTGTTCGCTGATAAAGACTCCACCTAGACCACCTGTTAGAAGCAGAAGAATTCTTAAAGGGGCAACGAAAGGATCGTTTCTTTCTGGAGTCACATTGCAGAAGAAGCCCCAGATGATCCCAATTCCAATACCTTAAAATAGATAATTATTATATTCTATAACCTTTAAATACAAAAAAGAAATATAGGCTATTTCACTGATCATGGCGTGTGTATCATCACTATCATACGAAATAAGTAAACTTAAAAGAAGAAGACAAAAAATGTATTGGGGGTAATCCCAATGGGCTATCTACTGGAGTCTCATTTGGTTCAGTAAATCTGTATTTGATTTCTTTGCAATTTTAATGGATAATTCATTAATTTTTTGTCAAAATGGTGCAATTTTAATTTAAATGCAAACAAATGTGTTACACAATAAAAGCAGCGATAATTTTCCTTCGGAGAATAATTACTTCTTTACAATACCGCAACAGGAATTCAATTATATCCAAAGGAAAGACAGCAGAGATAGAAATTTAATTTCAAAATTCTAACTTGATTTTGATTACTAGGGATAACGTCATTCTTGGACAGTTTTTTTTTTTTATTTTCTAGAATTAGGCATTAGATATGGCAGCCCTGGGCAGGGATTCTTATGTGCGAACTCAATAGGTAACGAATTGAATAGAGAGAGACATTACATAAGAATCCCATTCTGTGGAACAAAAATAGGCGTCTCAACACCTGCCGTTTTGAAAGATGATAATCACAAAGCACATAGAGGTTCCACGTGAATGACCAAGGCACATACTTTGATTTTCTTTTACTATACGGACAATGGTCGCACTGCGCAGCTTTCTGAGTGCCTTTTAAAGGGGCGTTTGATTTGAAACTCGATCGAGCGAGCGTTGAGGAGACCGAGAAGTGATGACGTCACAATAGAGCATTGAGTCAAATCAAATAAAACAGAGTAAAAAACATAACCTCGCTTTTTTGTGATTCTTGTTTCTGGTTTGTTTGTAAAAATAGTGAGCAAAAAGTAAAGAAAATAGAAAAACTTTTAATAGTAAGGGGTAATGGTTCTGAAATGCAGCATATACCACAAATGCCCACTTCGCTTTTATACTCCATGACTGTGATTACTGGTGATTAGATTTGGACAAAGAAAATGTATTTTCCAAACACACATTCTGTTTTTTTATGACGAATAATTTTAGATATAAGACAAAAGCAGCTAAGTATTTTATTGACTTCTTGTCGGGTCTTTAATTTTGAGGTTCAATTTTGTTTGTAGGTTAATTAAAAAGAGATAGGTAGAGACAAAGACAAATTTCTCCCTCTTCTCGATCCTTCTGCTCTGAGAACATCGAGCTCGCTCTATGTTCTCGCTCCAAAGCAAAACAAACACTTTAGGGATATCTCGGAGTGTCAATTCAAATACGTTTGTAGCGCTCGGAAATCTCCGATGATCAAATCAAACGCACCATAAGAGGAGATAGAAAACTCCGCCATTTTGAACTCTTATTACGTGTTGTCTACATCTTGGCGCAATATTTTTAATAGGTGCGTTTTAATCATCCACTTCTGCTTAGGAATTGTCGGTTTTCTTGTTTTAATCTGACAGGTTAAAACGACTAAACCGACAATTCCGGAAGCAGAAGCGGATGATTAAAACGCATCTGATATTTTGCTTGCTGCTGTCAGTGTCAGTGAATATTATTTTTGGAGTCACAGTTTATTGCTAAAGAATCAGTTAGTTCACTCGGACCAGTTGAAAGTTCCAAAATAACATCCACTCCAGGGATACAAATTCAGGATACGCAGAAGACTGCTGTTTTGTTATAGGTGGTTGTCATATATTGTATTATCCGAGTTACGCAGTGTATAAACTGGAACACTGAGATCAAAAGTGCCGACGCAGAGTGAGCGATCTGATTCTTTAGCTATAAACTGTGTCATAGAAATCAAAATGGCCGCGCCCTATGTTGGGCGTGTCGGACCTCTCTCTTGCTCCGTATAGTAATCAAAGTATGTGTACCAAGGTCAAAACCGACAACTGACATTTTTTATGCTATTTGCTCCAAACTCTAGATGGGGCTACTGGTGAAATTTTGATTTCTTACTCCATTTTTAAGCTTTATGGGAGAAAAACTTAACCAAAGACTCCAAAGATGTGACGTGTATTTATTTATGTTCTTGGTTAGTCTTATTTTTCCGTCTGATTTTAGTGATTTTTTTGTTGGCTTTGGCTTTTGGTTTCTGTTTATAGTTTCGTCTTAGTTATTTGCAAAATTGTGATGTTTCGCTTTTCTATTTCCTACTGTGTTTTGCAATAATTTTGGTGCAACGTTGAAAACTTCAAGAAAAACTTCATTGTTTCACCATGCATCTGCATCATAAAAAGACAAACGGGTACAACAACTAATTGATAATCAATTTATCACTGGACTAGATTCCGAAATAATTTTTCACATAGGAGAGTAATACCACCATCTGTATTTGGAAGGAAAATACCTATTTATTATTGAATGAATAGTTAAAAGGATTCACCTTTTAATACAATACCTATATTACATTTTTCCTCGGTTAAAAAGACATTTATAAAATATATAACTTTAGTGTTAATAAAATGTAATATCCTAAGTATCTACTTCACATTTAAATTATTGATAGGTATTTTAAAGATTTGAGATTATATATCTATTTGCTCCAAGTAAGTATTCCTTAAATATGTATTATTATTTGTATTTATTTTTATCTAATAATATTTATTTAAGTTATTAATAAACATATTTTAAGAATGTTCTATTTTATTATTTATTGATATATCTTATATTTATTAACCGACTTCAAAAAAGGAGGAGGTTATCAATTCGTCGCGATTTTTTTTTTATGTATGTTCAGCGATTATTCTTTAACACGGTGTCCGATTTTAATGATTCTTTTTTTGTTAGAAAGGGGGTACTTCAGGGGTGGTCCCATATAAATTTAGTCAAAATCCAGTAATTGGGTCCATGAGAAAATCCTCAAACTCTTCATTTTTTATGTATGTTTCGCGATAATGCTTTAACGCGATGTCCGATTTCAATGATTCTTTTTTTGTTAGAAGGGGGGTACTTCAGGGGTGGTCTCATATAAATTTGGTCAAAATATAATAATTGAGTCCATGAGAAAATCCTTAAACTCTTCATTTTTTATGTATGTTTAGCGATAATGCTTTACCACCTTGTCCGATTTATATGATTCTTTTTTTGTTAGTAAGGGGGTACCTCAGGGGTGGTCCCATATCAATTTGGTTAAGATGTGGTGATGGCATCTGCACGTTTTTGAAGTCGGTTTTTTTAAATTTTTAATTTCTAATACTTGTTTAATAATAATATGCATAACCAACTCTCCACATCAGACCCCTTATAACAAATTAATTCCTCAACTTTGGTATAATCGACCTAAATTATTTTGTAAAATAAAAGTTTCAAACTTACTAGTTCCATACTTTATTTTATAAAATAATTTATGTGGAAATCATTTAAAATTTAATTTAACTACTACCTACTCCTAAAAATTACAATTTGTATTTACCGCCACCTGTCAATTGTCATTTTAGTTCCAGCTCCAAACACAAGGTGGCGCTAATTTGGTTTAAAAGTTTAACATTGGCGTGGGGTCTCTAGAATATACGTGCTTTGTGATGAGAATCCCAATGCTGGAGTGCGTTTAGAATCCTCGCACGGCGCGTCTGCACCCTATTCTAATGTATGTGGTTAGACGCACCGTGCGAGGTTTCTGAATGCACTCTTGTGGGTCTGTTGTCATTAAGAAGGTCAATGATCATATATAGTTATATGGATTGCTCAAAGTGGGTCGTTTCCGAGTAGCCATATTGCCTTTCATATCAAACGAGTATAATTTGCTCCTTTTACAGTATCTTTTGCATCATTAGTCTTTAACTTCGATACAATGTGCGATTTTTTACTGTTATTATGGTTTCCTCCCTGAGTTCCGTTTTTTTTATGTGTGACGCTACGAATATTGGTTTTTAAAGCATCTGCAACTCGTTTATGAACAAATAAAAATTGTATACAACGTCAATTTTGTCTTTATCCCTACTAAAGTCGGGGCATATTAGTATATTGAAACCTAATGATCAAGAATATATTTTTACAATTGAAAATGAAACATCAAATGACAAAATATTTTTTTAAACTAGAAGCATGCTTCTGTGAAAGTAACTCTGATAGAAGCAACAAGAAAACACGTCTCTGTAAATCGTTAATTGTAAAATTAGATTAGACATAGGCCCGTATGTTCCCTGTTGTAATAACATACGTCCACATATTATTGCAGATACACGCCAAAATCGGTAAAATTGATTCAAATTAAATGGTCTTATAACACTCACCTGCTAATATCGATAAGATTCCAAACAGTATTCCATTGGTGACGCTAGAGCCATTAAAGATGATTCCCTTCACTACTCCAAAAATAGCTACTGAAAGTGCATCGTCAATGCTGGCTACAGCTATGATGAGTGTTGGTATACCTTTAACGACACCATAACCTTTCGTACGCAGCCTAAAAAGACAAGGTACGACCACAGCCGGGGCAACTGCTGCTATAATGCTACCTAAAAAATAGCACAAAAATATTTATATGGAGTATTTGAAAGTAGGTACTACATTGCTCTGGGAAGTGGTAAACCAATTTGAATACCTAGATACGATCGTATGATAGGAAGAAAAGGTAGTTGGAAAGTAAATTTGAAAACAAGGCAATGGGTACAATGAACAGAATAATAAGGCTTATTAAATATCTAAAACCGCAAATATAAAAACATTAATCGATCACAGTGATTGACTGTAAAACCCAAGAAAAATTAAACCAACTTAAGGTATGGAAGAAAAAGTTATCTTTTGAGAAGCCAAAATGTAGAGTGGAATAGAATAATCAGTTATGAGCTGATAAATTTTTAAAAAGACATAAGTTAAGATAGTTTAAACGCGTTAGGAGGGTGAAAGACCAAAAGCGCAAAGAGAAGAAAAATAAAAGAAAATGGAAGTAAACGGAAAAGATGGAGACTAAGGAAAATTTTACTAGATAAGATGACAAAGAATTCAAGAGAATTAGAACCAAGACAGAAGAAGAAAGTAATTTAGACTAGAACTAAATAAAAAAAAACAGAAGATTAGACCGGGAAAAAACCATCAATAGCACTACTTATATAGGGCGGCGGACGAAAACGTACCAGATCCATTATGAATGGATATACATATTATTGAATTATCCATAAAATTACCTGTTCAATGACGTGTCATACTAAGTACTTTCCTTATTTAAATTGTGTTAGTTAAAGTGACGGAGGGAAATGACGTATGCCAGTTGAGAATATGATAGAAATATGTCCCCTTTCAATAAAAAATTGACAGGTCTGCGTGCTCGTCTAACATAATGACGTAATTATAATAATGACTCTGCTATCTTTTAGTCTGGCAACCCTGTATATAAATATAATATGAATATACCGACAAACTTTTACAAGTGGTAAGAGACTCTAATAACAAGAATATGTGTTGCTCAATAAACGTCCGAAAATGCTTCGTTTCCGAGATACAACAGGGAGTTAAAATTAAAAAAAATCGATTAATAATCAAAACATTAAAAACGATTTAATGAAGTGAATTTTTGAGTTTGTTTGGACCTTTTAGCATTTATTCCCTTTTGATATCCCCTACCACCCTTAAAAGTTTACGGGATAACCTAAATTTTTGTTTATATATTAATAATGGTAATAATACTCTCCCTAATTCACTCCTTACGAGTAAATTTTAACCCCAAAAGCTGAGCTTGTGCGGGGAAAGGGACGGCTATTATTATTATTTGCCGTGGCGCTCCGGGGCGACTTCAAGATTATTGTTGGTGCCATTTGACTTACAGGTGAGGAAAACCCGGAAAATTTCACCCACTATCATAAAGAAATATCTATTATTGTACATTTTCAATTCAAGACACAATTTAATAAAAAATATTGGAGGGAACCTAAGAGTGCTTATAAAAATCTAGACATATTGTATAAACAAACACTAAAATTTAAATTATTCAGAACTCAATTCACAGATCTTTTCATTTTGTTTATCTTATCAATAATATTGTATTATTATCAGCTAGACAGTTTATAGGCATATCTATTTATAGCTATTTTATATATAAAAAATAATTTATAGTAGATGGTATTGTTTGATTTTTAAAAATATGTATTTTCTATGATTGGATTCAAAAATAACAGAGATATAACCATTCATTGATAAAATATAATATTCACGATGCCAAGATTAATTCGACAATCGATACACTCTATTTGTAGGGACGCGGCAAGGAGACGAAAGGTGAAGAGTCAAAGAGGGTATAAAGAGAAGAATTTTTATCAATGAATAAATGTGTAAGACACTGTGCGCCTATAATAAACAACGTAAATAGCTATGAATGAGTAGGTTTTGGAATTTATTGAAAATTATTACATCTAATTTAGTGAAATTTCATCTAATTTAATAAAATTTAATATAACTAATAATTTAAAATTTTTGCCTCCTGTTATCTCTGATTGGATTCATTTACTTATACATTATTAATGAAAATTTCTCCAAAGAAGTATCAAAGGAAAGAAAATGAAAGAAATGGAAAGCAATGTAACATTTTGTATGCATACTAACCTAACAGTACAGCGTATTTCCATCCAATGCCCATTAAATATCTTGATAAAACAACAGTCAATCCAGCTTCCACACCCCACGGGATAATTGAAAGTTTTAATACTGAAAACTTTAGTCGTTTTACAGCTATTGGATCTAGATCTAAACCGGCTCTGGTAAGGATTATCACAAGTGCAACATCACTAAAATTTCAAATGTTAAATTTATATTTTTATGCAATACGCTAATTTAGTGATGATGTATGTAGTTTTGATTTCACTAACAATTAAAATGACAACATTTATAAATATATTTCTAAAGTAATATAACATGCATCAAATATACAATCATTTAGGCCCAATTCCATCGCTAGTAGTTAAGAAATAAACCCAAGTTTAAAATGACATTTTTTCATTAAGAGAAGGTTATACAGTAGGCAGTTAAAATGTAATTTTAGTTTAAACTGTGAATCACTTTGTACAATCATCGGTTATTGTTAAACATAGTTTTTAAAAGGATTTTTGTACGTTAAATATAATCAGTTCAAAATTAAACTACTGTTTGATAAACTGAGTTTACAGCATTCTTTGTACAACCCGTCTTAATAGTCATTTTAATATTCGCTTAATAATTTAAACTTCGTTTAACACAACGGTGATTCGACCCTTAGTTGCCAATTACATATCTTTGAAATATGTTTTATGACCTGCAAACAATATTTAGAAAAAACCAAAACCTGTAAAATTCAATTCAATTTAAATTCAATAATGTTTTTGTTAAAAGTTTGGTTAGAAGTCAATTGTCAGTGAAACCAAAATTGCCTGACACTAATATGGCGTATTTGGAAAAATTAACACGGATCACGAAAATAAACAGGGAACTCAAAACTTAGGAACCAATTCTCGTAACCTCAAAGTGAAAACAAATTAAAGAAAAATTGAAAAGGCTGAAGAGAAAAAATTTAGCACCAGGATCTTCGAGTTTACTGCACGTTACCTTACGAATTATTAGGATACCGAAGCATATAGCTACAACGGTCGAATTGGCAATTTTAAGAAATCAGATTCCAAATCTAGCCGATACATACACTTTCCCACAAATATCTAAATTCGGCTTTAAGCCACTATAGTATAGCCACAGATTAACCACAACAGATGCGAAACCCGGCAAAAGATCAAAGCATTTTGAAATGAGATTTCTATGACCTTTGACTTTAAATGGGTATGGCATAGGTGTTGCCAATTTTGATTATTTTTAATAATGTTATTTTTAACAGACACGTTATTTGTGAACAGGTTGTAATTTCTGTGTGTTTATAAAATAACATACCTGTTAAAAATAACACAGGTTGTCAATCATAACTCCCTGGTTTAATGTATAGTAGCAGCACGAAAAGGAATATGATTTGTACTAATATTTTCAAAATTTTATAATAGGTAAAAAGTTATAACAAGCAACGAATTATAATGTATAATATATAATATATAAAAATTTGTTAAAAGGGCTTTATTCGCCATCAAATCCAGTTAAAGGCCTCCATTTTCCCTTTAATGTGTTAAAATAAATATATTGGCAATTAATGGCCTATTGATATTAATACTGACTGCTGAATAAAGGTCATGTGCCAGGTACAATTTAATAGTGTCTCTTTGACTGAAGTATAAATATGAAACGAAATGCATTCCAATTCCAATATACCTAGAATATTGTAAACATTTTATTTAATTCAGTTAAATAATATATAATAGAAATAAAATGTCTTCTACAAAATCTATATCCATAAAATATTTTAAATTAATAACATGTATGAGTAAGAAATTACAATGAATAGTGAATACCAGTAATCCAAAACTGGCCTCATGTCCACTTATTGAGTATTTAGCAAGTAATCATCGGTATCTCCATCTATGAACGCGGGACGGAATCCTCCTGGACTGTTGGAGGGTTAGGTCTTCGGCCGTTAAAAACCCTTTGACTTTTACCTCGTTCTTACCCAATCATCAACCAACAATACTGGGTCACTATCAAAAGGACAAAAGTAGGCTAATATTTTTTAATCTTCGCATTGATTTTTGCTTTAATTACAGCAAAAAGCTAGCAATATCCCGGCAATTCATTGTTTGTTGGGATACAATATAAACTAACAAGTATACCAATACAACTTTTGTAAATAATTGAGGTTTGAATACTTATTGCATACAGCCTATTTGGAGGAAAATAACATTATATCGCATGTAGCCACAAACCTAATAAAACCAATATTGAACAAATAGTTTGGTAGGTTGGTACTTCTGAACTGTAAAGTATAACTGGATGAAAATGAAAAAACAGAACATTTATTCATGAATATTTATTAAATTTGGTTATAGATTTATATCTATCAAATTTTTCATGAAGAATCAGATCTAAAACACTCATTAAGACATTACTTAAAATACATACCTTTCTATTTTTTTTGCTGATTTCTGAAATATATGTTGCTGAATTTTATTAGGTAAAATATTCGAAGACGAATAAATAACTTTAAAAAGTAGTTATTAGAAAAATGTTGACAAGGGTGCTTAAATCTTTTAACTGTACAACTGTATAACAAATTATACGAATTATTTCCAAGAGTGAATCAAGGTAAGTAATTTTCTATATTTTTCAAAAAATAAATATTCCAACTGATAAATATACTGATAAAAACATTCGGTTGGTGTTGTTGGACTTCCAAATAATGATTTGATATCATAAGCTTTCAAATGAATAAAAATATTGCTGCTACCTAAAACGAAAGTTGGCACACAACGTAAAGCGTCATGACCGGTCCTGATTGTCCTGAATGTCACATAAATGTCATCTCACTTACAGCATCCTAAGCAAGGTTGTCACATAAAAAATTAAAATTTCACTCGTTTTTTAAAGTTCCATGGATTGTCATTAATAAATGTATAAACCTTTAAATGGTTTATTATTTTTTGTTTAGCGGATTTTAATTATGCGTCATTTGTATGTAACGTCTGTGGCAACTAAAAAATGTATGTACAATTTTATTTGACTACATGTCACATAACATCAGAAAACCTAGGAGCATCGGCAACTTCGCATAATGAAATAACTTTTGACTTCGAACCTGCGCGAGTGGAAACAAGTTGCTACGAGGGACCTTTAAATGGGTATGGCCATTTATCTCTCTTAATTTTGATATTCTTTGTCAACTTTCGCATCTGGGTAATCTGTGGTATAGCATTGCGTATACTAGAATACATCCTGATCTTTCTTTCGTCTGTCCGTGTTAAGTATTTAATGTGCGAATCACCGTAAACGTAAGGTTTTTAAGAAAGATGATACGAAAACTTAAATAGGTAATTTGTAAATATGAAAATGAACACGCTAGAAGAATCCGAAAAATGAGTAGTTAAAGTTTTTTATCTTTGTCGGTTATAAGTAGATAGGATTAGATTTAGCCTAGCACAATACGTCCTCTTAGGTCAATTGTATTCCCCTGCTTCCCCCGTATTCAGGTGTCATATACAGAGTTGGGATAAAGTATGGAACCAAACGTAAATACTCATACCAAATAAATACTAATACCAAACCCATTACAAACGAATTCGAAAAACAAGATGTATATTTCAACAACAAAAAAGTGGCAGGATTATGCCCCCTATGTGTCATTTCATCATCCTGCAAATTTACATTATCACGTTTTGGTTATGATATTTATTTGGTTCCGTACTTTATCCCAACTCTGTATGAATAGTCCTGTGCCATTAGTTAATTTTACTAGGTCACCTAACAAAGGTTCCTGAGGCGTTCTTTCCGGTTCTGGGCCAAAAAGGGTCTGTATCCGTCTACCAAGAGCTTCTCATTTGAAGAAAAAATGGTATAAGGTTTCTTCCTATTTTATTCAAAGTATATACGTGGTGGGATAATTGTGTAGTCCCATCACATGAAGGTACTTCAGCAAGCATTGTTCCGTCAGCAATATCACAATGGTGGATATCTGGGGCCTTGCAAGCTATAGTACATCAGCAGCCTTGCGTGGGATTGTTCACCTTAGCATGAGCTTACTGATTCTGAGTTCTTTTTTCTGTTACCAGCCAGTTTGATGTTCATTCACCTGTTCGGCCTGTCGAGCAGAGGTTTTCCTTATCACAAATATAGGTTCTAGTTCTATGAATGGTTGTCCTGATCCCTCTTTGGTGAGTTCATCAGCCTTTTTATTCCAAGATCGTTGTAGACCAGCTTCGGCTTAATTCTGGCCAAAGGTGTTTAAGCGTATTTAAAGCTGCCTCTCTATCTGAGAGAATTAGGATAGTTTTTTCTCTCTTACACACTCGATTGCATGTATTGCAGCTTGAAATACATGGTATGTTTTCCCAATGAGACAATCATGTCGCATTTGGTTTTAACTCCATGTACGTCAGAGCCTGTTACTTTGCTAGTTTTAAATTCATCCATATACCACACGAGACCACTAAGCCAGTACTAATCTCCTTCCTGGTTTATTTCGTTCTAGTTGCAGTCGTTATGGAAGTGTCGTCTGTTGTAGGTTAGGCGGGTTGTCATGTGGTCTAATCCTATATTTAATATGAGAACATTTACCTCATGCTTTATTCTGGTGTTTTTTATATTTCCTAGTGAGTAATTCAAGGAGTAGGAGATTAAAAATGATTTCCATAGAGGCTTTTGGTATTCTTCTCAGTGCTCCAGTAATACAGTCTTGCCAGTCTCTATACTCCTGAGAGGGTTTTGAGGGCTATTTTCTAGTTTACCTGTGTCCACCAAACCACCGCTCCGAGTAAGCATGGGTCTTCTCCCTACACCAAGAAACATTTTACACTTTTTGTAAGTCTTGGTTCCAAGTAAGTGTACTATCTGGGACTAGCCCCAGATATTTTACTTCGTTTGTTTTTTCTAGCCTTCCTAGATAAGATTACTAGGGAAGATATTACGACATGTGATAAACGCAGTTATGGCGAAAAATAAATAAATTATAATATAATTTAAAACAACTAAATTTAACTACTTACCTCAATTGTTTGTTTATACCAGAAAACGATGAATCTATATTTACGATATTTAAATTCTGCATCGCTATTCCAGTAAACAACATACCAACCAGGGCTGGTAAAGTGGTCAAACCAAATAGCCATCCTCCAAAATGTGCGGATATACTAAGAAGAATTAATTGAAATAATTGGCCTTTGGGAGGCGCTGCACTGTCTCCCACTATAGCGTACAAAACCGACCAACATAATACACCTATAAATGTTATAGATGTAATTCTAGTCGCTTTTCGATAAGATAAACAATAAGGTTGAGGACAGATCTTTTTCCACATGTCTGGCTGCCATGGTGTCTTTCCTTCGTCGTCGGAATTAAATTTTAGGCAAACATTGTACCACCAAGATGTACTAAAAAATAAAATAAATACGTCTGAGAGGGAAAATATATAATAAGGTTAATTAAATTAACAATAACTGATGCTACACCAAATGCAGTTATTTTGTTTGAATAGAGTGCGTTTGGCGAACTAACAGAATGTTATGTGAGCCATTTCATTATTCAGTCATGCTCTAACCCTACAAGTCTCTCTCTGTCTTATTTGGCCTTTGAGGCTCAACTTGTCCGATTATTATGGATAATTTAACCCCTTAAGACCAAACCTATGGGACTACTATGGTGGAGACACTTTCGCGAACATTCCAAAGTCAACGAGATACTATTTCTAGAACGTGATAACGTTTCTGGTACATACTGGCAATTTTGGTGGAGGAGCATTCTAGACCACCAATTTGTATATAAATTGGTGGAGGAGAGCCATCAGAATCAGTTGATATATGGACAGTGAAGATAAATAGTAATTAGTAGATAGACAGTGGTGAATATAAATAGTGATCAGTTTAAAGACATTCGAAGTATATATAAATTAAAATAGTATTGTTTAAAATAAATAAGTGTTTAAATAAATTATTAATAAATAAACTGTTGTTTTAAAATAAATAAACATCACAAGAAGTTAAAAAGCTATCCCCATTCTGAGCAACTTTGCATTGGGAGACTTAATAGTGTTGTAGGATTATTATATAAACGAAAAACGATTTATTAGAGATCTGTGAGTGCAGATGAAAACGCTTTACCTAAGTGTTAATGTTACATTTTTGAACTATTTCCGAAATGTGCTGTATGGGGAGCGCTAGTGCACGGGCCATTTTGATGATATTCTGTACTTGTTCTAACAGATATCGTGACAGTATTGCCTCCAATGAAATATCCATAGGGTTGTTCTACTAGGTTATCTAAATACAATGGTATGAGTTAGGAAGCGCCGTCGGTTAGGCGCCGCAGTACCTTGCCCGTATGGACGCAGCGTCCCTGACTAATCTTTATTTATATAACGCCATTATTTATTTTTATAACTAGATAATATGTATTTAATTACGATATCTAGATATTTACTTACTATTATGCGTTTGGTATAAAATACCTACGTTATGAGTAATTATAAAAAATTGTTGCAATTAGGTTAAATGCTTTTTGCGTGAATATACTGATTAAAACTATAATGGGTAAAGCTGTTTTAATAATATCTGATGCTGAAATGACCTAATAATCTAAATTTGAAAATAATAATTCCATAAGTCTATTATTTTGAAGTAGTTAAAATAGAGTTATATAGGGTAAATGATATGCATGGAAACGATCGATTATCTTCTAAAGCAGTGGTCGCCAACCTGTCGATCGCGAGCTACCGGTAGCTCGCGGAGGCAATTCTGGTAGCTCTCACAACGATTTTAATTTAAAAAATACAAACTGAGAAAATCAGAGCAGCTTCCGAAAATTCCACAACAAAATCTAATTGTCATAATATTAAACATAAACAGCGGCAACGTTGCGGTGAGCGATCTGCCGCTGACGCCATCAAGCTAGAATCGGCTAGAACCGACCAGCCGGACCAGCGCGTTAGTGTTCGAGAACGATCAGGATTGCTTTGAACGGGATAAACACGCACGGCGCGGCGACATTGCGCTTAGTTTAAAACTGAACGCATAACCAACGTCTAGCGGTTGGGTTAGTAGAGAACAACAAAAAATAATATTATGGCAAGCAGTTGTAAGAAGGTGAAGACATACCACTTTCATTCGGAATGGGAAGAACAATACTTTTTTACAGAAGTTAAAGATAAAAATGTGTGTTTGTTATGTAATACTTCGGTCTCCGTTGCTAAAAAAGGAAATATTGAGAGACATCATAAAAATGTACATTCTAATTTTGAAAAATCATTCCCACTACATTCTGCCGCCAGAAAGGAGAAACTGAAACAGTTAAAAAAGCAGTTAATTGGACAACAATCAATATTTTTAAGAACAGTCGACAAAAATAAGGCTGCAACTGAAGCATCGTATCGTGTGTCCCAGATAATTGCACAAAAAAAGAAACCTTATGAAGACGGGGAAATGATAAAATAGGCGTTTTTAGAAGCTGCTGATTCGTTATTTGTCAACTTTAGAAATAAAGACGAGATAGTTTCAGCTATAAAATCTATGCAACTTTCTGCTAATACAGTGATGAGACGTGTAGAAGTAATGAGCAATGATATTTTTTTACAGTTAAGAACTGACTTAGATAACTGTGTTAATTTTTCACTTCAACTGGATGAATCAACAGATGTCGTTGACACTGCCCAGATGGCCGTGTTCGTCAGGATGGTTTTTAGTGATTTTACGATTAAAGAAGATCTTTTGAAGTTTATTCCACTGAAAGGACACACTACTGGACAGGAGTTGTTTTCTCATTTAAAAAATATTATTTCTTCCGAGAAAATTCCAATATCGAAAATGGTAGGCTTGACAACCGATGGCGCTCCAGCTAAGGTGGGTTGTGATAAGGGTCTGGTGGCGTTATGTCGTAAAGATTAAACTTTTCCGCAATTTCTCTGTTACCACTGCAGTATCCATCAGCAAGCATTATGTGGAAATTTCCTGCAACTAAACAACGTTATGAAACTGGTGGTAAAAATTGTGAACAAGATTAGAGCTCAAGCGTTACAAAGAAGATTATTCAAAACCTTGACCGATGAAGTTGACTGTCAATACGGAAACCTACTCCTTCACTCTGAAGTCCGATGGTTAAGTAGAGGATGGGTGCTGAAACGTTTTAATGATGTCCTATCTGGCATAGTTCAATTTTTCAAAAAACGCGATGAATCGACTCCGGAACTAGAAAATTCAATCTGGCTTAGAGATTTTGGTTTTCTCGTGGACATTATAGAGAAATTAAACGAACTTAATTTGCAGCTTCAGGGGAGACAAAGAAATAGCGGAAATGATTTCTGATATAAAAGCATTTATCAAAAAGCTGGAGTTTTGGGAACAAAACCTAATTAATAGCGATACCAAGCATTTTCCTATTCTTTCAGAAAAAATATCTCAAAATCCATTAGAACTCTATGACAGCAAATATGTAGAAAGAAGAATAACTTCAAAAATCGTTTTATGGATTTCAACGAAATGGCTTTAGTAGCGCAGTTTGTTGTTTCACCCTTTATGGAAATTGATATCCAACAGTTTGCAATTTGTGTTATGCAGAACTTTGGCGAAGACATCGCTGAAACAGAAATGGAAGTAATTGAGTTTCAAAATTATTTAGCCTTAAAATCGTTAGGCTCAAGTACCAAATGTATCTGGCCTATTGTAAGTAAAGACAAATATTCAGTTCTATGCCGTGTTGCCTTGAAAGTGAAAGCATTATTCAGTTCAACCTATTTGTGTGAATCTTCTTTTTCCAATATGAAGTTTATTAAGAACAAATATCGCAATCGACTTACAGATGAACATGTATTCGGATGGCTGTATCAAATTATACTGCAAACATTAAAAAAATTATCGATGAGTCTGAGTGTCAGCCTTCTCATTAAACGTGCTTTTTTATTTTTCAATGTTTATGTTCATGATAGTGCGTTACTTTTTTGTTGTTACTATTAACTATTTTTAAATCTTACGTGACATGCCGTTGTGGCTGGATAAAAGTTTGTGTTTATTTTTCAAACACCTTCGTTTGGTAGGTAGGAATGTAGCTATGAACAAGTACGTACTAGTAATATTAGTTATTTTGTTATTAGTTTATTATTAGTACCTATGTATTACCAGTTAAATAGTAAAATAAATACATATACATATAAATTAACTGTGGATTATTTCATTTACGTTGCGTTACGTGGCTTCCGTGTGGGTAGCTCGCTGTTTATTCCAAAATTAACAAAGTAGCTCAACACATTGAGAGGTTGGCGACCACTGTTCTAAAGTAAGATAGCTAGAGACGATTGTTAAATATAAAAGATTTTGGGTTTTTAAAAATCTATTACAATAAAGACAAACTTAGTATAAAGGGTCAGTCAAAAAGTCATGACGAAACAAATTTGCTATTTCTTTAATGGAACATCTTGTATATTATTAGCTATAATAATGTGCTATAGAATTTTGTTTGGAATGTGAGAGATTAATTAAAATATGGAATAATATTAAAGAAAAATCAACTTTGTTTCGTCATGACTTTTGACTAACCCTCTATACCTAATTTGTCTTTATTGTAATAAATTTTAAAATTCCTAAAACTTCTGTATTTAACATTTTTCGCTAGCTATCTTACTTTATACAGTGTGGAAACCACTTATGGAATAAAATTATTTTTGGTCTTATTTTAGAAAATTATTAAAAATGCTGAGACATATAAACTTTTAAACTAAAGTGTACATTATCCGAACGAAAATATAACTATACAGGTCGACTTGATGTAAATCTAGCACTGTCGGTATTCTTTTTTGATTAATGTATCCTTAGATAAATGAAACAACAGATGATGCATTTCATTCATAAAGTATGTTTTGTTTGGTCCCAATCATTGGAAAAAGGAAAGAAGATATTTTATGCGGATTGAAAGAAGACAGACTGTAATCAAAAATCTCGTCTGGCAACGCTGTTGTTACTCGCAACTAAAAATCTGTCCATACCAGTGGCGTATCTTATTAAAGATAAAATCATAACTAATTATAAAAAAATAAAGAAATACTAACCTATATGGTGTGCAATAAACGTTATAATGATTTAAACTTCAAAACCGATTGGATTTGGAATAAGGGTATGAAATTCAGTGGAATATAGGTAAAAAACTTAAAAACAAGAATAATACAATATTTATTACATATAAAGATTATAAATTGTTGAATGAGAGATTTTTAAATCAAAATTTAGATTTTTAACAGTAATTAATTTATAAAATTTATTAAAACAATACTTACATACAAGGTGGGGATTTTAAATGGACCGCTTCTTATACCGGATCTGGCGATAAGAATTTTGTAAAATCCGGAAACACGTACAACAATAAACCTGTGTTAGTATTAGGCGTTGAAAAAAAACTACTTTTTTGTATATATATATAAAAAAAAATTTATTCGTTTCTGAACAATATCACTTTTGTGTTTATACTTCTTACTCTATTTTTTCTTAACCTATCCAACTTTTTTGTGGTCTCATAATGAATGCGAATATTAAAATAATGTTTTAATATCAGCTTTATCAAATCTACCAAAAAAATTGAATATGTTAGAATCTAAGGTTTTTAAAGTATTTAAAATTAATATATCCAAAACCCCTTTAATATTTTTATTAAAAATATTGTTGGTTTTGTGGAAAAAAACGAAAAAAAATTTCTCCCGCTTTACATATGTTGATAACCATATCATTTGCTTCAGTAAGTCTTTCATATGTTTTTCTTTTTTGAAGCTGAGAGGTAACTACAGATTGTTCCAATAGATTTAAACATTTTAAACACGAAACACACTTTTTTAACGATTTTACAACAAATCCAGAGATATAAGAAAAAATATCAAGAACATATAATGTTAAGTCTCAGGATGGTGACAAAAAATTCTGATTTTTCTATATCTCTATGTACATAATTTAAAATGGTTGTATATTCCTGAGATTCCTCTAAATTTTCCCCATTATGTGACCTAGTCAACAAGCTACCCGAACCACAAGTTAAAATTGAAATTTTTTCTAAGTCCACTGTGTTACCAGTCTTTGGAGCTGTAATTTCACTGTGAACTAGCAGTCTCTTAAATGCAGCCTCAAACTGCCTAGCCGTGGGGTTATTATTATAGCCCCCTTTGCTACGTATAGCCCCAAAGAATAACTTAATATTTCTTGTATGCCTTTTAGTTGGGAATCTGAAAATCAAGCATAAGCATATTTATTTTAGTACTATAGTCTAGACTAAAATGTTTTTATTAATTACAATTTTTTGCGAAATTAATAAAGTTGAAAGATCAAAGAAAATAATATTAAAACAAAAGTAGATAATACATGTGATATTACGGCAAAAATCTTTAAATCTACACCACTGAACTCTGCAATACATAATTACCTAACCTTACTTACTTATGAAAAGATACTTCAGCGCCCACATTTTCCAGTTTTTTGCACAAAATGCACTCGCGAACCATGTTGTTAGCTATACACAAGCCGAAATTTTTTCAAAAAAGTCTTAAAATTAACAAAAACACCCAAAATGCAAAAGTACACTGTATCGCAATGTCGCAAACTATCGATAATACTTAAAAAGGGCAGGTTTAAAGAGTATTATCACAAGAAAGTATATCCGTTCTGTTTATTTATCAAGTATTGTTGAGGTTACTTTTGAATACATTAATTGTTTTTTTTTTTAATTTCTGTAGGCAATCTATTAAATTTTTTAAACCTTTAATTAAAATTATATTTTGGGAACTTTTAGTGATGGCTTGCCGTACATGAAAGTCAGATTGGTTTCTTGTATTATAGTTGTGATATTGCGAAATATATTGAATTTTTTCTAATAGATCTGATGCGATGGTACTATGTCATTTTTATTTTATAAATAAATATCAGTCATGTACTGAACATAATTCTGAACTGAAAGCCAATTTATTTCTTTTAACATAGTTGCAATACTCATCCTTCTGTCCTTTATTAATAGAATATAATAGGCGAATTATTATTGGATAAATTGCTCGAACAAGTTTTTAAACCCTAATCACCCTAATACGCTACGTGTTTACCCTTCTGGGCCTCAGTCTCGATAAAGTGTGAACCACCATTTTAGCGTCTCTCGAATTATGTATATATTTTCATAAAGGAAATGACAAATAATTTCAAAATTTCCCTCTATATTATTCTTATAGATCGTAAATATTATAATTCGTTGAAATCAGCTTACTAAATATAAAATGATACAGGGTTTTCTATTGAAAAAAAAAAGTACCGACAGTGTTAGATTTACGCGAATCATTCTGTTTATTTATACTTTCGTTTGGAGACCGTACAATTTAGTTTAGAATTTGATGTGTCCCAGTGTTATTATAATTTTTTAAAATAGGGCCAAAAAATGGTTTCCGCACTGTATATTGTTTTAAATCGAAAAAATCAGGTGTTGATATTTTAAAATGTAAAAATTTAAATTTTAAATTGTGTATAATAAAAATAATTGTGAAGGTTATTGGGGAATTTTGCAAATAATGTCAATTAGATTAGAACCAATTAGTAAACGATCTAATGTCGAATTACACTACAATTATTAGTCAAAAATAAATTCAGGGGTGATTAGAAACTACAACTTTACCAATTAAATTTCTTAATGTATCTTTATAATTAATGTAGAAATGAAAAATGATCATACCTTTCTTCGAATCTTTGAGTTAATAAACTGATTTCAGCAATATTAGACGGAATACACAATGAATAATTTTCCTCGGGATTATCCATTATTTTCACTTTCTCTCTCTTTCATTTAAACACCGAACTTTAAACAAATTATTATTCTACCATAAGGTACCCACCTACTTGCATGAAAAGCATGGTCAACTAGACAATTCTTAATAATAAATTTTGATTGATAATTCGATTCAGATGAGTAAGTTTTTACTGTTTTTAAATATAGCTGTCAGTCAAGCGGAAACTTTCTGCTCTGAATATTACATATTACCAAAAATCTCAGAAATAAACACGATTAATTTATGTCATCGGTGTTCAATAAAAACTGTTTTTATAAAAAATAGATAAAAGAAACAAAAGTCATATTAAATAAAAAATAAATACGGGTGTCACTTACTTGTCGTCGTGTGGAGTATTTGAAGATAAATGAGATACATTTGAATTCATAGTTACAACGGATAATTTGTGACCAAGCAAATCTGAAATCAAAGAAATAAAAATATTAATGAGGTGGAGAAAGATTTTATTGATTCACCAGAAACAATATCATGTAAGTTAGATCAGAAGTTAAGTTTTTTTCACAAAAAAGAAGAATACATACCTACAAATCACCGCCAAGTTATAAAATCAATTAATCTAAAATCTGCAAAACATTGAAAATACTAACGAAAAATTACATAAGGAGAACTTATTTACATCATAAATATGGTTGGCAAGATATGTCTCATATGTATAATTATTAGACTTAAAGATATTTTTCAGATAGGAAAATCTTTAATATTGAATATAATAAAAATTAATGATCCAAAGGAATGGTTTTTTGACTACATTTTGAGAAAAGACATTCAATGATCTCTGTGGGCAAAACGATCCCACGCTGTAATATTAAATACTGATACCGCAATCTGTGATTACAAATAGACGGCTTTGACACATCTAGTTAAAAAATTATCGTACATGAAAGTTATAAAAATATAAAAGTCCAAGAATTGATTATTGGGGTACAGCAATGTTGATGGCTTTTTGAACTGATCGAAGCAAATTGTATATCATAATTTGTGATAATATTTTGTAAATAAAATGCTACCCACTGATTGGTAATACCAAGTATACCGATTCTTTTGAGTTTTTCTCATAGATAATTGTGTTTTTCATTATTGAATTTCATGAATAAATGAAAATATAAAGCTATGGGGACTTGGCTTTTTTATTGCAGTTTCTGTAGATCTATGTGGTCTAAAGCCGGGTTGACCGTTTGCCGAGAAAATATTTTGTTCTAAAAAACTTGGTAATTGTTTTTAGATGTATGTTCTATGACTTTAGTAAACTGTGATTGTAAAGAAATATTCCTATAGTTTTTCGGTTCATTTAGCAAACTTTTATTTTTGTATATGGGTCTTGATTTGAATATTTTAAGCTATTCCTGGTACCTTTACAGAAATAAATATTTATAATATGTGATAGAGGTGAATAAATATTATCAAAGTTATTCCTTGTATGTCATCTAACCCTATTAGCAATATCATTTACTTCATGAGTGAAAGTTGTTAAAAATTAGGTTCAACAACATCTATATTTGTAAAAAGTTTGTTAAAATAATTGCAAATCTGAAATTGCAATAAATAAAATAGTCTCTTATTTTATACTTTTTAATTTTTTTATGTTACATTATACTCACTATTATCAAAATGTTTCTTGTGATAGATACTAGTTTTTCTCTCTGGTTTATGCTCATGTCCATGTCCGTCATCTGGTTCTAACTGCGTCGATGTTTTAATGTTTGGTGATTTTTTCGAGGGTTCGTAGCCGTGATTTGAATAAGCATGATTTGAAGTTCCATGATCTCTAATATGAGTGTCCTCATTTTCCATCGTTTTCTTCGGTAAAAAAAGTAAACATTAGAGAGAAGTACGAAAAAAAGAACTACTCTTTAAAACAATAATTTTAATTAACAAATATCTTTTACACTACCCTTAATAAAAAGTTTTTATTTTGAAAAAATAATAAAAATTTAGATAAACATTCTGAAAATGTGTAATTTTTATATATTATAGATATTTGCTGTTTTGATCCTCCTACCATTATTGTACAGGGTGTCTGATTAAGGACTCGTAGCGGCTGTATCTCAGAAACTATTGATCCTACGGCTTCGAAAAAAAAATTTTTATAACAAAAACGGTCAAGAGAAAATGCTGGAAATTATTTTGAACTTTCTATTTTAACCGTTAGAGGGCGTAATTCGCTATGGTAATTCAAAAAAATCACTTTTCCCCTATAAATGTCTAATAATACTATGATAATAATAATCGAACGGTAATTTTGATTAAATTTTACAAAAGTTTTATTCAACACTTTTTGCTCTATTCAATAAAATAACAGGTAGGGGCGATTGGGAACCTTAATTTAATAAATGTATTATAACAACGGTGTCGTTTATCAGATTTTGAAAAACTTTATATTGATTAAAATAAAATTGATTGTTTAGTAAATTATTTCAAAATAGTTCTGATTCAGTTGTTTAAAAGAGCACTAGGTGGCGTTGTTTAAGCAGTAACCATTTTTTTGAAGTTTTCTTGAAAAATTTAAATGGAATGTTATAATTTTTATACGTTCTTTAGAAAGAGAATTAAATTCTGACAAGAAACAAACAAAAACCGCGTCTTATTATCTTTTTCCTAACCGAATATAAGCAGAAGTCTATTAATGGTGAATAGTCCACTTAAATATTAATAAATAAAATTATTGATATTTTAATCTAGTTGGCTTTGAAACGTCAGTAATTTTTCGATAGCTTAACTGTAAAGCGATTAAGACAAAAAATATTAAAATCGGATTTAAATTAACTCTTTAGTGTAAGTTTACTGGTTTAATAAAACTAATTGCGAAATAAAAATTGAATATATTAATAAAATACAACAAAACAAGTAACTAAACACAGATCAAAATAGAGAATGCAATACAAGAATTAGAGGTAGTGCTCAAATTGTTTTCCATCTTTTTCAATGCAAATATCAAGTGTCTGTCTAGTTAAATTGACAGCAGCTTCTATTTCAGCCCTAGGAATATGATCAATTTCAGTTTGTATTCGTTGAATTAAATTTTCTCTACTTACAGGCTGAGTTTGGTAAACTAAATCTTTGAGTCGACCACACAAATAAAAATCTAATACGGTGAGGTAAGGAGATCTTGGTGGCCATGGAAATAGACTACCCCTTCCAATCCACCTATTCCGAAAATGTTGATTTAAAAAGTCTTTTACATCATTTGTATAATGTGCTGGGCAGCCATCCTGCTGTATCCACATATTACGGCGTACCTCCAGTGAAATATTTTCTAATAAAATAGGCAATTCGTCTCTCAGTAATCTTAAATATCGCTCACCATTTAAATTTTCATTAATAATAATAGGACCTATAATTTTACCGTCTAAAATTCCAGACCACACATTTACTGACCACCGACCTTGATTAAAAACTTCTCGCATCCAATGAGGATTGTGGTCAGACCAGTAATGCATATTATGCCTGTTTACAGATCCATTACTGGAAAATGTAGATTCGTCGGACCACATTATATGTGATAAAAATTGTGGATCCTTATTAAGCATATTCTTAAGCCAATTACAATAATCTAGTCTTTTATCATAATCTGTTAATTTCAGACCTTGATGAAGGGCTACATGGTATGGATGGAGACGATGATTTTGTTTTAAAATAGAACAAACGCAGTACCTAGTAAGTCCTAAGTCGGAAGCAATTTTCCGTATACTTATATGTGGATTTTCAGCATCGTATGCTAATATATTTATTACGTTAATTTCCGTTCTGCTTCTTCTACGTACTTGAATAGCTTTTTTAGGTTGAACACAGCCAGTTTCTTTTAAACGAATCGTCAGATTTTTAAATGTTTCTCTTGTTTGTAAAACTCGCTGAGGATATCTCAACGCATATTCTCTGGATGCAATCGGGGCGTTCTCAAAACATTCAAAATATACTTTTAACATGTTATAAGCTTCGGAATTACTGTAAGGCTTGATGTCTTTTAACCTATTAAAATATAATTAATTTGACATTTAAGCTTACTGACATTTCAAAGCCAACTTGATTAATATATCAATAACTTTATTTATTAATATTTAAGTGGACTATTCACCCTTAATAGACTTTTGCTTATATTCGCTTAGGAAAAAGATAAAAAGACGCGGTTTTTTTGTTTCCTGTCATAATATAATTTTCTTTCTAAATAACGTATAAAAATTATAACATTCCATTTAAATTTTTTAAGAAAACTTCAAAAAAATGGTTACTGCTTATACAACGCCACCTAGTGCTCTTTTAAACAACTCAATCAGAACTATTTTGAAATATTTTACTAAACAATCAATTTGCTTTTAATCGATATAAAGTTTTTTAAAATCTGATAAACGACACCGTAGTTATAATACATTTATTAAATTAAGGTTCCCAATCGCCTCTACCTGTTATTTTATTGAATAGAGCAAAAAGTGTTGAATAAAACTTTTGTAAAATTTAATCAAAATTACCGTTCGATTATTATTATCATACTATTATTAGACATTTATAGGGGAAAAGTTATTTTTTTGAATTACCATAGCGAATTACGCCCTCTAACGGTTAAAATAGAAAGTTCAAAATAATTTCCAGCATTTTCTCTTGACCGTTTTTGTTATAAATTTTTTTTTTTCGAAGCCGTAGGATCAATAATTTCTGAGATACAGCCGCTACGATTCCTTAATCAGACCTGTACTCCGCCTCAAGGAACCAATTAAAAAAAAAATATCGAAATATGTGCGGAATAAAAATAAAATCATTTGAAAACTATGGAGGATGGCAAAAAAATGAATTGAACAGTTTAACACTCCAACCAAGGCCACACGGGATTAGTTGAGCCATCAATAAATTCAAGCCTTACAAATCTCGGAGCTAGATGGAATATATCCAATTGTATTCCAGAAAGGTAAGGATGTGCTAATGCCACATTTATTCAAAATCTGTAGAGACATCCCAGCAAGACGGCTAAACAAGAAAGTAGCCTACCTTAGCAAAGTAGAAAGGGTCACATACCAAACACAAAAGTCATATCGCCCTATAAACCTATCCTTTTTTTTACTAAAAACGCTAGAAAGATTGATAGATAAGTATTTTAGGAACAAGGTAATAGAAATAAATCAGCTCCATCCCAACCAATGCATACCAGCCAGGAAAGTCAACCGAACTAGCGCTGGGCGATTTAAACAGGGTGTTTTCAAAGTGAATTAATGATAAAAAATCGCAATTGCCACACTCTTAGATATACAGGGTGTTAGAATATTCGACCAACAACGCTCTTTTCCAGAGAGCCATCGTTATTTAATGAATTTTGATATAAGAACATAAACCCTTAAAGGGCTTAGCTACGGAATGTTAAAAATTTTAAATCAAAATTCAAAATTTGCCGCAAATCAGACACGGTTTTAAATACTTTTTCCAAAATTTGGTGACCAATATGGTCTCTAAGAAAACAAAAGTCTGCATGTACTTAGCTCAATATTTTTAAATTAAATTAAAATCTAGTAGGCACGTGTCAAATATTTAATAGTTCGTGTCTTTGGCATGATATTGGCAGATCAAATTGAAAGGCGTTTTTGATTCATGATAATTTTTGAATATGGATATTAAACTTTTATTACCTTGTATCTCGGTAACTAAGCCCTTTAAGGATACATGTTCCTATATCAAAATTCATCAATTAACATAAGCTCTCTATTATAGAGCGTTGTCAGTTAAATACACCCTAAAGAAGAAGCTTCAGTCAATGCCTCAATTAAATCAATAACAAAAGTTCTAGAGCAGAAAAACGTCCCACTCACAATATTGCCAATGGATCACTGGCAGCCTAGAAAATGAGATAATTTTTGTATCCACTCTAGGAAAGGCCAAAGTTATTCGGGGCTGTCCACAAAGATGAATACTATTTACAATGCTGTGGTTAATTCGGAATTTTGTGAAAAGCCCCGAATAACTTTTGCCTTTCCTGGATCTACGAAAAAAGGTCGCGTACATTTGGTCGCGCGAAAAAAGAGCACCGACGAAAAAAGGTAGCGAGCAATTGATCGCCCGAAAAAAAGGCGAGTAGGAAAATAGCGCGTAACAATGTTGATATTTCTATTATTATCTTTTATTATCTTTTAATCCCAATGAAAAACAATCATTGGTCTTAAAGTGTTATAATGAGGGTATCGTAATAAGAAAGGTTTGGTAAAATTTAGTATTCATAGATTTGTTTTGAAAATCTTTATATTGCAGGTAACCTTTTAAAGTATGTCTCTAATACCTATTTATTAAAAAAAAACGATTTGTTTATTATTACTTTAGATAATTAACAATAAGCTGGTTACTTATTCTAAGTAAATCTTATTACAAACAACTCCGTTAGCTGTTAATAAGGCTTTAATGTTGATATTTCTATTATTATCTTTTAATCCCAATGAAAAACAATCATTTATTTCACAATTTACTTAATTGGTTTTAAATACGGTCTTAAAGTGTTATAATAAGGGCATCGTAATAAGAAGGGTTTGGTAAAATTTAGTATTAATAGATTTGTCGTTCTGTCAAGATGGTTCTAACTTACGTAAACAGTTAAAAAGGTGCTAATATGTTAGTGTACAATGGCTTTATCCATAGAAAGAAGAAAGTGATAGGTGAAAAGACAATTTGGAAGTGTGCCCAATACAATAAGTGGAAATGTACCGGAAGAGTTCACACTGTGGGAGATGAAGCAGTAAAAAGTACAAGCCACAACCATATTGCAGATGCAGCTAAATTAGAAGCAAAGAAAGCTTATAATAAGATAAAAGAAATGGCGCAACAAGTTG